CCGCCCCGCGCAACGGGCCCCGGCCCGGGGACCCGGCGGCCGCGGCGGCTGCGAGGCCCGAGCGGGATGCGGGAGGTGGCTTAGGGGTTGCCTTGGCAACGGCCGATCCCTGAAACTGCGGATGGAGCCCGGGCCTCGCTGCCGTGATCGGGACCGTCGGGAGGGCTGCTGCATTCCGGCAAGAAATCCGGAGTTTAACCCAGGTTTTGTTTTGCTTTCAGGGCTATTCGGAGTCCCCAGACCTGGAGTTTGAATATGCCGATACCGATAAATGGGCAGCAGAGCTTTCTGGTAAGGAAATTGACCCAATGGATCAACTGATTGGCCGCTGTTTCTTTCTTGATAGTGATTAAACGGGCTTCATCGACATCAGTGCCGCTTTGCTGATGTCTTTAAGCACCTCATTTTTGTTAAAAAGGGTGCGATGTCACGTAATTAATTTTTTGCCATGTGCTGGGTGGCATTTTGCAGTTAGCCTGGCCGCGTTGCTCCTCAGGTTCTTGAAGCAGCAGCTTTTCCTTGCAAAGGTGAATCCCAAACTCGGCAGGCGCGTTGCTGCAGTGTGAAACAGCACCTTGAAATTGTTTAGCCATGAAAGCACCTAAATTGGAGAAAAAGAAAAGGTGGAAGCAACTGTTTTGGTGGTTGATGGCAGCTGGCGCTGCCTGGGGGCCGGCGTCGACTCTTCCCGGTGGTTTTCCTGCCATGTCCCAGTATCCGCGAGCGCGTCGGGAGAAACCCAACCGGTTTCTCTGCGCTTCCTTGGCAGAGCTCTACAGCTACACGGAAGGGCCCGAGTTCCTGCTCAACCGCAAGTGCTTTGAGGAAGACTTCAGGATCCACGGTGAGAGGCTCCTCCTGCGCCTCCGCGCGCTCCGGGCAGGGACGGGATGTGCCGGGATGGACGTGCGAGAGCGGCAGCTCCTCACCGGCTGGACGGGCACCCGCCCGCAGTGGCGCTGAGCGAGGCAGGGCTTGTCCCTGTGCCCACGTCACGCGTGTCCGGTGACATCCGCAGCCTCCACGAGCGCCCGGTTCCGTGGGGCAGCCCTGCTTGCCCTTGCGCTGGATGCTTGGAGTTTCTGAATGACAGAGGGGGGCTCTCCGTGTCCTCATCCTGGTGGCCTTGGCTTTTCAGTGCGGGACAAGAAGTGGACCGAGCTGGACAAGAACCAGCATCGCACTCACGCCATGCGGCTCCTGGACGGGCTGGAGGTGACGGCGCGCGAGAAGCGGCTGCGCGTGGCCCGCGCCATCCTCTACGTTGCCCAAGGTACCACGTGGCGCCACCGCTGCTTCGTGACCTTTCCCCCGCTCCATCCTGGCGACCGGTTGGAAACTATGGGTTTAAAATGCCTAAATTCCTCAGGGTGTCCTTGGTATCACCTGGGGTGATTGGGACTTAAGGGAATCCCTCATGGTCTTTCAGGTTAGAGGCTTTTAACAGCACCGAGAGCCAAAAGTTTTATAGGAGATCCTAAATTTGGCAGTTTTGATGCTAAATTTGGCAGTTTCGATGTGCCATCCTGACTGTTACCCACAAGGGGGCAGTTCTGCCCCCTGCATCTGCTTCCTTGTTTTAAAACTTGTGGATGTGGTTTCCATTCTCTCTTGCTGGCAGCATGGGAGGGCCTGGGGATTCCTGCAGGGATGTAGCAAGGATGTCGTTACAGGCACTTTTGGGGAGTGCAGCTCCGAGGCCGACGTGCAGGCCTGGATGAGGTACAACATCTTCCTGCTGCTGGAAGTGGGGACGTTCAACGCGCTGGTGGAGCTGCTCAACATGGAGATCGAGTGAGTGCCGGGGAGAGACACTCCGAGGTGGTCCCGGAGCTCTTGGCATGGGGCTTTCCAGCTGGTGGCAGCTGCTTTGTCCCCGATCTCACTCCCTGGCTATCTCTAATTTAATCCTTGCGGTACTGGAATGCCTCCCATTGTTTGGGAGTGCCCTGTAATGCAGGGTTATATGCAAATTGTACCCAAATTCTTTCTGGCTCTGCTGTTTGGCAGCAAGCACTAGCGGGTCTGGTCCTCCTCCCTCGACCTCCCTGTGAATTTGGGACTCGTTGCAGCAGCGCCTGGCCCGAGGGCTGGTGCTGCTGGGCGGGCTGCTCGTGGCAGGCTTAAAATCTCTCGAAAGCCCCCGTGTCTGAGGCTCTTCTCCCTCCGCAGCAACAGCGCAGCTTGCAGCAGCGCCGTGAGGAAACCTGCCATCTCGCTGGCCGACAGCACGGACCTGAGGTACGGAGACGGGGTCGGGATGAGGCGGCAGCGGCTCCTCGGCGCGGAGCCAAAGGCAGGGGAGCGGGGCAGGGCAGGGGCTGCTTCTGTGCGTTAACTTGCGGGTCAGTCCGTACCTCCTAGGCTGTCCCGTGGCAAAGCCTGAGCCCGGGTGCCTTGGTGTGAGCGGGCGAGTGGAAGCAGGCGGTGACCTTGGCAAATCCCGGCTTCCCGCAGAGCACAGGGTGCCCGCACGGCCTCGTGTCCCATGGGAATTATCCAGTTTTTTCGCTCTTTGCAGAGTGCTGCTGAACATCATGTACCTGATCGTGGAGACGGTCCGGCAGGAGGCCGACGGGGACAAGGCGGAGTGGAAGGCCACGAGGCAGACGTTCCGCGCGGAGCTGGGTATAACGGGATGGAGGCTCCCGGGGGCAGGAGCAAACGGTGGCGGCTGGATCTGGGCATCGGTTAATGGGAGCGGGTGGCATCGGGTTGGTTCCTGCCGGGCTGTCGGCAGGGGCTTTGTGCAGGCTGGAGACCAGCCCTGCTGTCGTTGTGCGAATCCAGGAGCGCCGCTGTACAACAACGAGCCCTTCTCCGTCATGCTTTTTGGGATGGTGACCAAATTCTGCAGCGGCCATGCTCCGCACTTCCCCATGAAAAAGGTGCTGCTCTTGCTCTGGAAGACTGTGCTGGTGAGTGAGAGGCCGAGGGGTGTGTTGAGACATGTCTGGTAGTTTTATCTTTGACAAGGGAAGGAAATTCTGCCCCCCCGAGCTGGCTTAAACCGGCTTAAACCTGGGTAGTTGCCCCATGGAGGGGTGGTTGGTCTCTAGAGCTGGACTCC